ACACACATGTGTAAATACTGAATAGTTTTCCTGGTGTGAGAAACTGAAAGTGTAAATAAGAATGAAAAGGTATAATAGATAATATGAAATAGGAAGAAAGGGGGCAAAGTGGAAGGGGAAGTGGGAGGGGTAGGGGAAAGGAAAGAAGGGAATGGAATTAATATGTGAAAATGAAAAAATGGAAACAAAGTCTCTGTAAATAGGGAAGGATGGAGGCATTGAAGGGAGGGCAGGGGAAGGGAGAAAATATAAGTACCAAGGTATTATATAAAGGTGCAAATTTCCAATGATGAATGTCTTTATATTGTATACCTAAAATGTACCAATAAAAGGATATATAAAGAAAAAAATAAAATTTTTTATTAGAAAAAAAGAAAGTGGCCATTGCTCTCCTAGCTTGTGGCTGACTCAGGACTCATAGTCCTATGACAGATTATATCTCTGTCATCATGATAACAAGAAGCTCTTATTCTCCCTGGAGAATTAACTATTGGTCCTCTGAATTCCCAGCAGAGAACCTGCAATGGGATGTTAAAAAGAAAAAACAAAACAAAACAAAAAATGGACACCTTTTTTTGCACATGACATGCTATTTTTCTTTTGAGGAATATATGATGAACTTCCTTCATAACAAATTTCACATGGCAAAGTCCAATTCCGTTTATTTTATAGCTCTTGAGAAACAATGTTATTGAGCCAATAAAATGTCTGTTTGAAATTCAAAGAAAGTTCAAGAGAGAATTATTAACACACTGGAGGTAAATTCTTCTAAGATTTTCATATTTACTCAACCTTTCAATAGTGTTAATCTATTACCCACTTATAAAATATACATCAGTTATATTTTCTGTTAACACACATTGTGTATATTAATGGCAGTCACTATATGTATTTACATACACGCAGTTTCTTTTGTTGTATCTAAATAAATTATAAACTTACCTTTATAAACTATTTTCTGAGTTATCATAAGTAAACTTTTTTGAGCTACAATAGCTAAAAACTGAATTCGAAGTTGAGTAAATCCTTTTATACATAATTAAATGTATATACTGAGAGAATACACAGTAATTATATTTGCAAAATAAAATTTTTGCCAATTTTGTAGTATTGAGCATATCAACCTAAAGATATTACTAAATGTAAAAATAACTACAACTAAATATGAAATTAGTGTATGATATTCAAGATCACTGGGAGAATTTTAGCACACTAGCATTAAATATATCAAATGCCCCTAATCAGGTGTAGAATTAGAGAGAAAAATCAAAATTGGAATTAAACTGATAAACTATGGAGAAACAAATTTCAAATACATCAGTAAAACCAAAGAAACTGTCTAGAGTGGAACACAAATATATTAAAATTTGTGGAATATGGTTAAGATAGAATTAAGTAGACATTTGTTCCTAGGCAAAAATAAAATGAACAAAAATAAATTAGCTAAATAATAAACCTGAGAAGCTAGAAAGAATTACATTATAAACCTAAAAGTATCAAAACCAATGACTAATGATAAAAGGTGAAATAGTGAAATACAAGCACCACCAATATGCCAAAGAAATGCAGCAAAATATAATTTGGGTTGTATAATTTCCTTGATTAGTGAAGTCATGGTAAAAAGCTTCCCCTTACATTTTCTAATCCTCCAAACTGGAAATCTAAAATATATAAATGTTCATCAATAGAATTCTTAAATGATAGCTAATTTACAGTACAAAATGGTATTCAATGTTTTAAAAGGAGATTCTACATATATTAACATAGATTAGTTTTGATAACCACATACATACATGTGCCAGCCTATTGCATGTGACACATCCATATAACCTTGCTTTTATTTTCCTCATATTTTTATTTAAATTGACTCACTTTAAAGAGAAAAAACAACATTCATGTCATTCTACAGTAATATCTGTGAAAATGCAAGTTTGGTATATTGGATATTGTAGGACTGCATAACTCTGTAATCATAAAACTCCCCTAGCCCCACCTGTGATTGAATGTGAGTAAATAGATAAAGATGCTTCTTAGTTCCAGGTCACTAGATAAGATCGTATCAGCCATAATTATCCAACTCTTTGTTCCGGACACCACTATCTATAGAACAATCTACAAAGCATCTGCTGACTATCAGTACATGTCAGGCTAATTAACATACGAATGTAAGACCAGTAAACCTTTGTTCCTTCTTCTGTAAATTTCACCTGTTAACTCCCCTGCAAGCCCCTATAAAAAGAGCCTCGGACTCTGGACTGACGCCTCTCTAAGCTACTTTGCTTTGGGAGTGCCATCTGGCCAGACTAAGGTCTGTTTCACTTTCCAACTTGTCCGGTGTGTTCCTTCCCGGGTGTTCTTCTCTGCAGTCAGCTCTTTGGAGCATTTGGTAAGGCCCTTGGTCTTACATTCTGGAGGCACCCTGGGATCCCTAGGTGTGCTTCACTATAGTCAACTCCTCGGAGCGTTTGGTAAGGACAGCGGTCTTACATTATATTTTTCTATCACATGTAAAGCGAATGCATAACAAATTTTTTCAAGACTCTTCCTTGACCCAGTCATGGGCAAGGAATCCCAGCTCTCTTGATTGATGCAAGTCAGACTGGTTGCCCAGCTTGGATCTGGATTAGACCACTAATCACAGTCTTTTCTGGCTTGTGACAAAGCTGGCCTGTGCCAGAATGTCTTCTGAGGTTGCATGGTGGAAAACATGGACTAGTCACTGGACCAGCCAACTGGAATCCATCAGAAGTTATGGACAGGGATGGTTCTGGGCCACAAAGCAGCTCCTACTTCCTTCTTTACAAAAATGATAATATCAGCCACAGAGATCATTGGAAAAGAATCAACAACATATATTTGTCTCAAATTCCAGGGTTTCTCTGATGCCAGGAACAAGCAGAGGACTATTATACATGCATATTTACCTATTTCTCCCAGGCTATATATGCTCAGTGCCTGAAAGATTTTCCTAACTCTTTTGACAAAGCAAAATTCTCTCCCTGGCCATCTTTTAACCAAGACTTTCTCGAACTTACTGAGTAAATAAGAACTCCTCCTCAGATTAAACTAAATAATCCTCCACACAACAAAGAGGATCCAACCCCATCCCCATCTCCAACATTTCAAAGACTTTGAACAAGCTGCTGTTTAGGCATTGTGATATGTTACTTTTATTAAAATCATAATCAGGCACTGTATCAATCAGTCCAACAGTCAAAAATAATTTCCTGAGTACAAATTCTATGGGATGAGAGTTTATTTGGTGCTAGAGGATACCACACTGAAATCATGTGAAAGGCAAGGAATAATAGGAAGAGAAGGTAGCAAGGGAACCTGAAGATTCCATAGGACGTTTTGTTTAATACCCCATTCTATACCTATTCCAGCTCATCACAGCTTCCCTGGGGTCGCCAGGGTGACATCTCTATGCAGAATCTGTGCAACAAAGTAATTCCATGTACAATTATCCTGCAATATTCCTGAGGGAGTGGAAGGAGAACATATGATGCAGCCTGAGAAATGAGAATCTGGATAACTGAGATTGAGAATCTGGATAACTGAGATAGAGAATCCATCTTGAGGGTGTGGCCAAAATTTCACCATTGTATTCCTTATCTCAACTCCTAAAGATAGTTTGGGCTATCCTATTCCATTTAATTGATTGATCGATTGATTTGTTTGACAGAGGCCCCTCTTTTGACTTCTTATGGATCATGGTTCCCTTTACCTTAGAACAATACATTCTTTTTTAAAAAAGGTTTACATCCATTTGTAAAAGTATAATCTGTTAGATTATTAAAAGTTATACATAGCTTGAGAAAAAGAGAAATGGGTTGCTCATCTCCAGAAAATACAACATTTGAAACATTTGAAGTATTTCAAACAAAAGCTATAGTCAGCCTTCATCAGTTGATTCAGTGCCATTAGAACAATACATTCTTGGTTTATCATAACTCCTAAACTAATTCCTTCTCTCCTCTTTTTTTTGTTTAACTGTTTACACTATTTGCCTTATGACACATTGCTTTCTTATCCAATGAATAAATCCCTGAGCCCTGGCTAAGAAAGCTATGTTTAGAGTCTTATTCTGACTTTCAATATCTATGTGATCTTGGCAAGTTTCAAACTCTGTAATCCTCAGATTCTCCACACCTAAAATGAAGGTAATATATGTCATTACCTGTGAGATAATCTGTGCTTTGGTAAGTATTGATTAAATGTTATCTATAAATGTTATTCTACTATCTTACCAGTAGTAAAGTACCAAACATTGTTATTATACATAGATATAAAACAAGCTCTATTCATTCTATACTTGACAGAATTTCTCTTGAGTTTAATAACTTGACATTTTCAAATCTTAAATGTATCAAAGCCATTATCTTAACTTTAGATTTCAAATAAATCTTACCTCATTTGATGTTATTTATATTTTATGATCTTACATTCTCTTGTACTATTTATGCCATAATGTTTAAAAGATAAAAAAAATCTAGATAATAATTACATTGCTCTGTAAGCTGAGGAACATTTTTAACATGATGCAATTTATTGTTCAATTTAGTATGAATTTTGTTAATTTTCACATTATACTACACAAAGTATAAATTAATCAATTTAGGAAATTAATCAAAAGTAGGAAGTATAAAAAGTTTCCCACTAGTTCAAGATTATTTCCCATTATTCTTTGTCAACAGTTTCTTTTAAATGCAAATAAATACATTTTAAAAAGTAAAAAAAAAGTATCTCAAGAGGAAAATGTTCAGTACATTTTATAAAGTTTTGATTTCTATTACGCTTTTTGATCACTTGATTTACAGTAACATACAATAAAATACTATGTAAACTGAAGGAAATCTTTTCGCCTCTCGTAACATTGACCTTTATACAGTGAATATCACCTAATCAGCAATAGAGATAAGTTTTAGGCATATATATATATATATATATGGAGAAAAACAAGGCACAAGAAAATCTTCTTGAACAACTTGAGAGCAACAATGGGGTTATTCAGAGCCCTTGCTTCCCTCTTAGTCCTACACCTGCTGCAGGGCTCCAACGCTTCCCTAGTGCAGCTGAATGGCAATGGCTATGAAGACATCATTATTGCTATAGACCCTGCTGTTCCAGAAGATGGAGAGATAATTGAACAAATAAAGGTAAGGAGAAAGGGTGTTTGGTTTGAATTATGAAGAAAAAGTACTGACTGATTATTTTGGAGCTCTGAATGCTGCAGGAAGTTTAGAATCAGCTTGGTGCAGTGCAGACAGTGCTGGAGGGACAGAAGGAGATGGATGGAGTCCTGGGCAGGGTTCCACCCCGTTTCACCACAAGACCGAAGACAGGCTCAAGTCTTCCCTGAGCCTCAGCTTCCGCATCTGCAAATTAGCTCTTGGCCTCATATGATGTAAATATTGAATGCTCCTGGCATGTTGGTGTAGAGAATAGTGAATTAAAGAGAAAAAGGCCTCTGATCTCATAGACTACAATTAATAAAAAGGAATAAATTGCCAGGTGAGATGGTAGTAGGTTGCTGTGGAGTACATAAATCAGGAAAGGAGGACACAGAGTGTGAAGTGTGGCTGGAATAAGAGAATGGTGTCTGGGCAGAGACCGACATGAGTGAGGAAGAGGCCCTTGGAAGCCTGCAGGATGGGAAGAGCACGGAGGTGAGAGCCTGCTTGATGTGACAAAGGAAACAATGGTGAATGAGCAGAAGGAAAGGTTGGGGGAGCTGAAGTTGGTGAAGCGGCAGTGCCCCGACCACTGGGAAGACTTGGGCTTTTACAGGAGATGTGTGCTCTCGTGCGTGTTCTGGGGTCACCATGCCTGAGGCAGACGAAAATGGCGAAGGGTTTGCACTTCCCTCATCCTGTATAAACACTGTGGCCTCATAGAGGTGCAGAAGGACCAGATAGGGAGCGTGGACAGGTGAGAAGTGGTGGTGACTGGGGCAGGGAAGTCATGGTAGAGATCGATAAAGTTTGTGACTCTGAACATATTTTGAGGGTGTCATAGGCAATATTTCCTGAGGGTTTCGATATGTGTGGGGTCGGCTAGGGAGGGAGGAAGTGTAAGAGTTAAGCAGGCTTCAAAAATTTTGCCTGATCCCTTGGAAAGATGGAACAATCATCAACTGGGAAGAAAAGACTAAAAATTTGATAGTTTGGAAAGCTGAATTTAGTTGAGCTCATTTGGAAGTAGACAAGCCTTTTAGACATCCATGTAAATTGAGATAGGGATTTGGACAAAAACTTGTATGTAGATAAAAGTTTCAGAGTCATCAACATGTAGATGATATAAGTCCATAGATGACAGGAAGTACAAGAGAAAGGCTCCAAGACTGACTCAAAAAATTTGATACCTAAAGTTTCCTCCAATTATATTTCATATAGTATAGAGATTGCTACTACAACTATATGATTATTTTTCCTTTTCCTGACTCCAATATCCAATAATTCTTTATATTCAATTCTTCCACTCCTGTGTCCTAATGTTCACAGTTCAAGCCTTTTAAAGTACAGTTGTGACCAGGTGATTCTGTGCCTGCCATTTGTCACTCATTCTTTATAAACTCTGTTGTAGCACAGAGGTGTTTGCTTACTGATACCCTTTGAATTATAAGAGAAAATAAAGACTGCTTTTTGTAAAGAATGTAGTTTTGAGAAGCAGATAGCACAGCTGACTCAGAATGATAGAATTTTAGTGTTCAAACTCAAACAGTTTTGAACTTTTATGAACATAGGTATCTGTATTTGATAAAATTTTTAAAGGCAAAAATCTTAATATGTTCCTTTATTGAATGCTACATGTAGAAATTCAATTTAATTCTTTGTGATATGTCTAGGTTTCACAATGTTTCCCTATATTCAGTGTTCTACAGAGTTCTTGAGTTTGTATCAAGTAACCTTGAAAAATATCATGATCTACATTATACAGAATAAAATGGGAGTTTTTAAAGGCCAAATGATTTTTCCAAGGACACACTAAGTAGCATAGTCAGAACTAAGAAAGAAGAAAATATAGAAAGAAAAGAAAGAAAGAAGGAAAGAAAGAAAGAAAGAAAGAGAGAGAGAGAAAGGAAAAAACCCACCAACGAAACAGTTTGTGATTTTAATCTAATTCCTAGGTGTCCTAACATAGGAAAGTCTATACTGAACTGATTTGTAATTCATAAATTGAGATGTTCAGTTTTCAAATTTTCTTTTTCTTTGAGTTTTTGTTTCTTCTTCATTTGGAAGTAACTACTTTTTAAAATATTATTTTATTGGTACATTTTAGGTATATGGTATAATAACATTCATCATTGCAAATTTGCACCTTTACATAATCTCTTTTGGTTCTTGTTTTTCCCCCTCCCCCTGCCCTCTCTTTAACCTCTCCATCCCTCCCTATTTACAAAGACTTTGTTTCCATTTTTTCTTTTTCTCATATTAATTCCATTCCCTTCCTTCCTTTCCCCTACCCCTCCTACTTCCCCTTTCCCTTTGCCCCTCTTCTTCCTATTTCACATTATCTATTATACCTTTTAGTCCTTATTTACACTTTCAGTTTCTCACACTAGAGAAACTATTCAG